GATTTATATACTGTGATTTGCTTTGCAGCGATAGATCTGCACTCCCGATAAATGAAGGGAGTAAATTGGTTGAAGCGGTAAAGTCTCTGTTTATTCAGTAGGTCCTAGGTTAATATCTCGGCCGAAACTTCAACTCAATTAGGGATGAGATTTTCCCTGGTTTTCTTCAGTCCTTTCAGGCTACAAATTAAGCTATGACGATTTCATTGCACACCCTGTCCAGTTAATTAATCATTAATTGTGATACTGTTCGAAGCTATAGTATACTCTGGGCTACTAATGGCACAGTTCAATTAATCAAAAATAAAAATTTATCACCAGTGAAATACCTAGGTGATATCGTACAAAGAAACACACTTTGAAAATATGTTGGTAATAATTTTGCACTTTTGTTCGCATATGCAAAATCGTAAGATCTTGTTTTAAACCAAGCGTTACGTCACACAAAGCTAAGACATTTCCCTATCTAAAGAAGGTCTTCAGGATTGTCTTACCTTCAAAACCTGTATTATCATGTAAGGAGGAAAGTGGCATGCAAACAGCTTAACTACTGTCAATAAATTCCTTTATATTCGCCTGATTTTTGTGACACCACAGAAACAAATGTTTATGAGAATGTTAAGTGTCGCAGCCAATGTGATCATGCTTCTGTGGCAGTCTGGAGAACTAATATACAATCTGCGTAATGTATGAATAAATTTAAACAGATTCATTTGAGGACTGTACTTACCTCAACAGCCTGGTGTTCAGACCGTGAAGGCCTATATAAAGTAGAATTTAATTCAGATAAACAAATATGAAAATTAAATTTCGAGACAACCAACCCCAGTCACAATAAAGATACACCAAAAGCAACTGGAGAATGTGAAATGTTTTAAATATTTGGGTAGCTTGTTAACAGATGATGGAAGGTGTACTTGTGAAATTAAATCCAGGATTGCCATGGCAAAAGCTGCATTTAGCAAGAAGAAGAATCTTTTTACCAGCAAATTGGACTTAAATTTGAGGAAGAAACTAGTGAAATGCTACATTTGGAGCATAGCTCTGTATGAGGCTGAAACATGGACACTTAGGGCAGTAGATCAGAAACATCTGGAAAGTTTTGAAATGTGGTGTTGGAGAAGGATAGAGAAGAGCAGTTGGACCGATTATGTGAGAAATGAAGAAGTGTTAATTAGATTCAGTGAGCAGAGGAATATCCTACACGAAATAAGAAAACGGAAGGCTAATTGGATTGGGCATGTTTTACGCAGAAACTGCCTTCTAAAAGAAGTTATCGAAGGAAAGATAGAAGGTCGGATAGAAGTGACAAGAAGACGAGGAAGAAGACGTAAGAAGATGCTGGATGACCTTGGGGACAGAAGAGGATACTGTCATTTGAAGGAGAAAGCTCTAGATCGCATTAAATGGAGGAATTGTTTTGGAAGAGACTGTGGACCTGTCGTCTTGACAGAGTACTGATGATGATGATGAAACAAATATGTATCAACGTAATAACTTCTCTGCCTGTCGTGGAAGACACTTCAAGAAATGCCCTAGAGACAAGGAAAATGTTTCGACTTCCTCAGACTAAGTAATTTTTTTGTTTAACTAAGTCCATACTTCAAATCCTCAGCAGTTGGAAGTAATTAATTTAAGAAATAACATTTTCGAAGTCACAGATTACGGAGATTCATGAGCGTAACCACAAAAGCTCACAGGTAAATCCTCTCGTGAGGCAATTCAATCTAGTTTAATTTACAGAACTTGATTTATCGCATATATATATATATACATATTAATAACTTAATTTCCGAATTAGAAATCAACGGGTTGTTAAAAATTAATTCTTTATGAAGATTACTTTCGTCTGAAAACTTATCTTCTGCCTTGAAGATAGAGGAAGTACATTTCTCTGAAACGTCAGTAAATCTGTATCAGACTAAACGGTGTCACATCCCAAAAGACAACAATCCTTATGGTCACAACCGTGAGAACGTGGGATCCCATTTGTTGGTACAAATATTATATTTCTGGGCATTATTCATCGTCCTATTTTTATCTAAAAACGCCGTCCTCTTTATATTCCAAAACACAAGGTTTCGCAGACTGGATTCTGTCTCCGTCTTCAGGTAAAACCTACTCAGTTGGGCCCAATCAATAGGGACTAGCTCTATCGATTGGGCTCAACTGAAGTCTTACCTGAAGACGGAGACAGAATCCAGTCTCTGAAACGTTGTTTTTTTTATATAAGCGGGACAGAGTTTTTAGATAAAAACATGACTACTGATTTGTACTAATGTATACCATTGTCACAAACTTTTAGTTCTCAATCATTTCTTGGTGTTTTGAATGTGAAAAATTGACAGTCTTAATCAATATTAATACTTTATTATACGTTGCTCTGATGGACGAATTTGTAACGATAACTGTTGTAACCAGAGTTAATTTCAGTAAGAATAGCACCAAGCAGACCGTCCTAACGGTAACGCTCTAGAATTTTATCCGGGAGAAGCTCGGATCGAATCTATGCCGCAACTTCGATGTTCCTGACTGAAGTTTTCCATGACTTTCCTCAGTCCACTCAGACAAATGCCAGGTTATTACCAAGACCGTTTCCTTTCAAATCCTTACCAACTAATTAGTCATTCTACCATTGACGCTATATAGTCTGGCTACTAAGCGTGGTAAAATAGCTTACAAAAAGAAGACGTGTTTGTGCTTGCAATGAAGCAACGTCTACAACGCATTCGAATTCGGAGAAAACATATTTGGAAAACACGTGTATTGCATCTGGTTTTGTATGTAGACCTATACATAGACATTTAATTTGTATTCTTGGATCGTTGAATAAAGGCCGAAGAATTCCGCGAAGGGTGGCATTTGCGAAACAGAACCCTAATACGTCGCTAATACCTGCAGGTGCGCCTGAGGACTCTCATAAGCCTACATACAAGGCGGGCTATAAATTCTGTGTTGCCCAGAAGAGTGTGCTGCTTCCAGAATGTTGATGATGATATTAACATTGTCATAGAAACAGCTTCCTCATGTATCCTCTCATAATTCGACCCTTACGATGAAAGGATTTCTTCCCTTCACTCTTGTTGAGTGTCCATTTTGTTACGTTCTACGTGTAATGTGATCGTACGTAACGCCTCTTTGTCTGTGCCTACCAGTTGCTTACTTCAGGGTCAACTAATATTACCTGTTACATAATATTCCTGTTATCGCTTCCGCATATTGTCTCTCTTGCATCAAACTTTTAATTTCTGTTGCAATATTTCTTCATAATCTTTTTTTTTTCTATTTTAGTAGATGGTAGGACCTAAGTACGTTTTTCTCCATTTCAACGTAAGTATAGTGGTAAAGGCAAAGTTGTTCCTGTATAAAATTAAGTTCTATGCCGTGAAGGCATATGACAACGTGGCTGTATAATTCGAAGGATTGAGGCTACTGGTGAACTTCACGCTCCGGTCGCTTTGCTTCTGCCGATAGACATTCTAGGGAGACCGGGTGGATCACAGAGCTGGTCTGGACAATATGAAGAAGAGAAACATATCTTGCCCTCACAGGAAATCGAACCCTGATATCTCGGTTTTCCTTCCCGTAACCTAGTAACTGTACTGACTGAGCTAACATATACCATTATTACTGTCCCTCCACTGCATGTATACGAGTACTTCAATATTTTAATGTACTTACGAAACAAATACTCCTATTGGTATCACTGCTGATATAAAATGCTACTGTTTTATTATTATTATTATTATTTATTTGACTACAAATGGGTGTTTACCTGGTGGCAGTGGTAATATAATAAGTCAAACTACAAAACTACACAACAGCAAGGGTCACAATCAATCACACACTCAATGCAATTATAATACAATTATAATTATACTTACAGTTACAATAAAAACACAACACCCATTATAATACCAATATAAATACCATTAATTAACCTAAGATTGTTGAGATAACAGTAATAAAGGAATTGTGATGATAATAACAACAAATAAAGTAACATGCTCTACACTAAGGCAGTGCCATTTCGTAACTTCATGAACTGATGCACTCGCAATTCCCCCTCCACAAACCTTCACTTCATCTCATTTATCACTTTCTTAATCATTTTTCAAAACTTACTTGGTTTACAGGAGAGAGTCCCTAAAGTATCTGCAGGTAGTTGGTTCCAAAGCTGGATGGTCGTATTTACAAAGGAATATTTTCCGATATCAGTCCTTTGCTTCATGCTCCTACTTTTCCTATCATAGTTGACTCTGCTCAGATAGCATGGCTTTTGTAATCTGTCACCAATCGCCTTCCAAGCCCGTTCCCCCGTGTACACCATGAAGAAGCCACATATGCGTGCTATCTGCCTGCGCTGTGCCAAGGTTTCCCATATCGAATCGTTCCTGTGACGTGCAAATTTAGCAGCTTTCCTTTGCACCCGGTCTAACGTAGTACTTATCTGCTCCTACCTGTAACGGTCAACTGTTACTATTACAACTGCTAGTAGTACTAACTAATCTCATGGATCTGAATCATCTTAAGGAGCCGCTAGTCGTTCAGCTACTCACTTTCCTAAAAATGTATACAATCCAAAAGTTCATTATCGTGTCTACAAATCTCCCCTGATCCCTGTCCTGAGCCAGAAGGATCCAGTCTATAATACCACATCCTATTTCTTTAAGATCCTCCCACCTACATCTAGAGCGTCCTAATTGTCTCCTTCCTTCTGGCTTTCACAGCAAGTACTGTTAGAATTGGCCTTCTAATATCTGAGGGAGCAGTAACACAGAGGGAATCGTTCACGTGTACAAAGAAATTCCTTGCCAAGCCTCTTATATTCGAGCTAGACAGGAACTTGAAGCTGACCGCTAATTGGCCTCCATTTCAGTCAGTTTAAGAATGTATGGAGCTTTACATCCATTGTTGTAGGTTCCCTAGCTGTAACGCTTAATCACAGGAAAATTGTTACTTAGTGAAATAATCGATATTGCGCTTGTTCTTTGTTACAGCGTTCCCGTATGATTATCATGCAAACTCGAAAACTCACAATGGCATACACGTCCGCCATCAGCGTCACCAGCGTCACCACCTAGGTTCCATACGAGTGCACCATCAGCGCTAATTGTCACCTGACCGTCTCCACACTAGTGCACCATCAGCGCTACTTGTGTCACCTGACAGTGTCCACACTTGTGCACCATCAGCTCTACTTGTGTCACCTGAGAGTGTCCACACTTGTGCACCATCAGCACTAATTGTCACCTGACCGTGTCCACACTAGTGCACCACCAGCGCAACTTGGTCACCTGACCGTGTCCACACTAGTGCACCACCAGCGCAACCTTGTCAGCTGGCAGTGTCCACACTAGTGCACCATCAGCGCTACTTTTGTCACCTGACAGTATACACACTAATGCGCCATCAGCGCAAATTTGTCACCGGACAGTGTCCACACTAGTGCACCATCAGCGCTACTTTTGTCACGTGACAGTGTCCACACTTGTGCACCATCAGCTCTACTTGTGTCACCTGAGAGTGTCCACACTTGTGCACCATCAGCACTAATTGTCACCTGACCGTGTCCACACTAGCGCACCACCAGCGCAACTTGGTCACCTGGCAGTGTCCACACTAGTGCACCACCAGCGCAACTTGGTCACCTGGCAGTGTCCACACTAGTGCACCACCAGCGCAATTTGGTCACCTGGCAGTGTCCACACTAATGCACCATCAGCGCTACTTGTGTCACCTGACAATGTCCACACTAGTGCGCCACCAGAGCTACTTGTGTCACCTGACAGTGCCCACACTAGTGCACAACCAGCGCTATTTGTGTCACCTGACTGTACCCACACTAGTGCGCCACTAGCGCTACTTGTGTCAGCTGACAGTGTCCACACGAATGCGCGAAATATGTCTGCTGACAGTAGCCAAACGACTTCCTAGTCAGTATAATTGTTGTTACCAGATATTTGCCTTGGGAGTGCTAGGCTTGTATTGTATTGTATTGTGTTGCCTGCGGAGCATGTGTGAAAGAGACTTAACGTTCTTGACAACTGGAATATAACTACACTTTCTAGTCTGTATTAAGTTACACATGCGGATTAAAACTATTGGATGTCACCAGCTGTATCATAAACACTCTTCTCTTCAGTGGCGTATCCCCAGAAAAGGTAATAGATATGTAACACCGACATGATTTTCTTTTCGGCTCATCATACAAGTTTATTGTATTCAGGAGCCCTCCGGTTCATATCTCGGCTGGATCATTGACTATCCCAATTGAGATCTTCATTGTTTTTCTCAGTCCCTCGAGACAAATACCAGGATAATATTTCAAATTAGGTCACGGATGATTCCTTTCACATCCTTCCAATACAGTATTAATTGAATCGTTTCAGCATTTGACTCCGTACAGAATGAATCACTCTAGTGCAACACAGAGCTGAACTTTTCACACTGAGAACCTTTCGTCAAATGTATCTTTGTCTGTATGGTCAAGGGCGAGAAACTGAAGACAAATGGAGTTTTATTGAGCAACAAGATGTCATAAGGAGCGAGGGATTCCGACTAGAAATATTTATAAGTCAGCAAATTCCTTTGCACAGAACTTGGAAAGGGCCGCAGTGTGAGTAACTGCTGTCGTGCCCTGCTGCCAACTTAATGTATTGTCAGCACTTTCCGCAAAACGAACGGAAAGAACAGAACACTATTAGAACTTATTATTGCATACTGTGGTAGCAGGTATTTGGGGTGTAGCTGCAGGCTTCCTTTGTAGAGGCAGGTGAAAGAGAAAGAACACTTTACTTGCACATTATTCACATTTTTTAAAACATACGTGTATGAAGAAAAAATTCATAAAATGGCTAAAATGACAAGAAATACACTTACAATTCCAAACATTTACCAAACTTTACCCCAAAACCGAAAATGAATACAAAAAAAGACCTGTGAAAGTTACCCTGTTAATAATCAAAGCCACGACAATAGAAGCACAGCAGTTTCCTGAACTATAATTTTAAATATATGATGATGACCATATTGGCCGAAACATGTAATGAGAAACTTTTAATAATTTAAAATTCATATGATGTGTGAAACTTTTAAAATGAATAACACTTCGTAAGTTTTATAGAAAGACACGTTGTAAGTGAGATGGTGATACCAAAAACATTTGATACAGATGTACTCGTATGTATGATTTTTCGAGAGAAGTCAGTTTTATATGTCTTCAGACACTTGATTTTTACTTGTTATGTTTCCACAGCCGGTGTTTAATACACAATTGTCTACCTTAAGGTCGGAAGTACTTCAAAAAATGAGACAGTTCACACCAGAAAGTCATTCTTGTACACATGAGGCATTTGGTTATTCCAAAAAAAAAAAAGTGCAGTTTCCCCTCCCCCTTATATCTTCATTATCTTATAAGCCATTTCACGCATTATCAATTAAAACTGATTATGGTCTTATGAGCTTCTACACACAGTCTCATGGTCACGCCCACCAAGAGAATGGTGGTTTCAAGTGTGACTCATCGGTAATACGAATATTGGACACTAGGCGTCTGAGAAGAAATTAAGAAGGTATTAAGGCCTTAAGTATTCGAGCTCGTTTTACTTATTGGAAGTCTGTGTTTCACGAGCGTAATAATAATAATTCAGTTCTTTATTTATTTCCGTGTTAAGCTCGATAGACAATGGCCAATCACAGAGTCAGCACGAATACAAACAACAGAAATAAGAAAGCACAAAACAAAATGAACGAGAAACAATGAGGGATATATAATATATAATGATAATAACCCTCCAAAAGAATTTCACTTTACAAAATAGCAAGTGGAAAACTTTGAAAATATCGATTCTAGTTTTAGATTATTTGTTTTATGAATGTAATCAGGTATTTGAAGTTAGGTGCTACACCATTAGAAAGTACATAAGCGGGATTAGCCCAAACTGCTCAAAATACAAAACGCCACATAAAATCATACTTTATGTATATTGACCATTAAGAACTGAAATATTTTATAATTTTCAGTGAGTACATCCTGTTGTGTATCATATATTATTTCTTACTGAAAACCGTCACAACACAACAATCAATAATACGTGTAAGTAGCTCTAGGAGGTACTTTTGCTACATGTCCGGTCTGATGGAGATAGATTCTGTCTCTCCATGAGACTGGACATTTACACAACGAAGTCGCCCGTCAAATAGTATCAGATATTTAATAATAGCATACAACATAACAAAGGGCCTCCGAACACCACATCAGCCATTGTGTATACAATGTCCACATAAACATATTACGATTACAACTGCAAACTTCCAAATACCATCACATATACAAATTTAACGATACTTTTGACTGTGTAGCTGGTTATTGTAAGACTTCAACTTTTATGGTAATTTATGTTTTATATATTCACTTATATAATTTCATATGATTATATACACTTGGAAGTTTAGCACTGTATCATATATTTGACATGCAATTCAATAACGAAAAGTTTAATGTATTTGCCTGATGATGGCCTTTTGAAGACCGAAACACGTAGCAAAAATATCTCCTACTTACACGTATTATTGATTGTTGTGTCGTGACGGATTTCAAAAATAAATAAAAAAAAACTGAAATATTGGCAATAAGACACTTGAAAGCAAATCCGAACTGTGTAATTAAAATTATAATCTTATTAATTGTTCTTTAAGTGACAGTTGATAAAAATATAATTAAAATAATAAAAAGAGCAAACATATTATTAGATTCTATTAGTCTCGTCATATAGATATATGAGTTTTGACGTTTTCAGGACAATGAAGATTTATGTTGTGGTCTTCTGGGTTAAGAGATAATTTGGTCTGATAAATTACTACCAAATTTTGCAGGCATATACTGCTTCCATCTTCAGAGTAGAAGTCACTTCTACTTAGAACAATGAGGAAGTACTTTTTTCTAAAACGTTTGGAACAACCTACCAGACTACACGGTGGGATATTAGGCACTTTTATACTGAAGGTGAAAGTGATACTCGTATATTCATCAAAAACTATGTTAATTATCTACCAGACTATACGGTGTCATAACCCAGAAGACTACGTATCAAAACATGATTAATGTGGTCGCAAAGCGGTAAGTTCAGGCTTTAGAAATAGAGCGAATTAGAATATTTCACTTTTAATAATCTAGAAATATATTGCTGCTAACAGCTTATCCGGAAGACGTCAATCCTCTGATTTCAGTCAACAGTCATACATAAATTCCTTTAATTGAAAGCATAAAGTTTCAGTGCAACGCGAGATGTCTATAGACGTTACGAAAAACATGTTCACCGTTCTGCAGAATAAAGTAACACTAAATACACTACAGAATTAATGGGCTTTTGGACTTTTCCCATCGTCCGGAATTCTAGGCAATAGAGGACACGACGTTTCGAAACTGGATCTCTTTCCGTTTTCAGGTCTTCCTTTCTCATCTGAAGACGGAAAGAGGTCCAGTTTCCGAAACGTCGTGTCCTCAATTACCTAGAATTCCAGACGATGGAAAAAGTCCCAAAATCAAGTAATTCTGTGTGTCATCCACTATCGTCAGAACCCTTTAGAATCTACAGAAAACGCTAGCTATACAGAAGCTACAGAAAGATATCCATGGACTGACGTCACCCCCCAACTGTCCCACGAGTCGTTACGCTTCCCCCTCCAGTGTACTCTCCTATATTCTCTCTCCAGCCATCTAAGCTGTTCCGTCCACACGGATGTGTGCCAGCAAGAGTTTTGTTTTCATTGCTAAAGTCAGAAGAAATGGGGGAAGGGGTGAGTAATACAAGAGTAGACAAGAGAGGGGGAAGCCTCAAGCATCGTCATCGCCTCCATCCATCGGGCCTTCTTGCTGCGGCCCCCTTATAGAAACTTAAAAAGTTCTATCTAGAAAAACTTTTGTTTAAAAGCTAGCACTTACAGATCACATAAGAATACATAAATTTAGGTAATTACGAATGTGTAAATCATAAAGAAAACGGCTTTAAGGAGACACACAGTCGCCCACAGACACACGCGTCCAACAACTCTTCTATTGTTGCGTGTATACTTTGCCGCGGGCACGTGTTTACCGAACCGTTGCCTAGTAACGATAGCGGGATACACATACAGACACACAGACTGATGGAAGGGATTTATGAAGCACGCCGTTGAGATAGACACAGGTGTCATGATATACATACAACGTTTCAAACTAAAAATCTTACATATGCTCTGGTCATTTAGGTTGTTATCGGGGGATCCGCTGCTTGGATTCCATCTTGCTTTGAGCTCTGGTGATAATTGCAGTTTCCAGTTCAGTCCGCATCAGCTCACGTCAGCCGTGATGTACAAGTATAGGATCTGGATATATTATCCGAATAACGATAATTACAATTCGCGAGTTTTCGTGCAGTTCAGAGAAAGCTTGTTTTTACTTCCCAAGGACAGGCGTGTGGATGACATTTACCTAAAAAATAATTCCCTCAATCGTGACAGAACCGAATTACCGAAACGGTTTCTGGCCAAGGTTCTAGACCCGTAGTCGTGAGATACCCGGTTCGAGTCTCGTCCGGCTTGTCGGCAATCATGACTGACGTTTCTCGTGAATTTGATCAGTCTTTCTTGACAGAAGCCCTTGGTAGTAGTTTAAAATAGGACACGAAAGCCTCGTTCTAAATTCTTCACTACACATCTTCCGTGAAGCGCAAGCGTTAACGTAATTGGTTGAGGCAGTATGCTACAAGACGGAAGGTCGCGGGTTCGGGTACCGATGAGGTGGACTTTATAATTGGTCTAATCCTTTCAGCCGCACTTTGGCCCTGGGGTCAGCCTCTAACAAAAATGAGTACCAGGAATTTCGCTGGGGAGGGGGGAGGAAATGGCGTCTGGCTGAAAACCTGACAGTCATCTGTGAGCCGATTGTCTACAGATAATGTGGGGGCCTCGACGTCTCGCAATTAGTCCTCCGTGGCCTATCACAGGGTTAGCTTCTTCTTTTACTCATCATCCATGATATTACCATAACCAGATGAACCAGAGTCCTTCTTGAGGAGTCAGTAGCTGCTCAGCTACTCAAAAGAAACTGCCCCAGCATTCATGGTCTCGAAGGTTAATTACCGTGTTCACAAGAGCCCACCACTGGTCCCTATTCTGACCCAGATTAATCCAACCCAAAACCTCCTATCTTATTTCTTCAAGATCCTCTTTAATAATATACTTCCATCTACACCTAGGTCTTTATAGTGATCTCTTCCCTTCTTCAACTTCTCCTAGCAAAATTTTGTATGCACTTTTATCTTCTGACAGGCAAGCTACATATCCAGCCCATCTCATGATCCTTGAGTTGATCGTTTTAATAATATTTGGCGAGAAGCGCAAGGTAGTGAAGCTATGAGCTTACCATAACATTCGAAATTACATAGACCTAACCCTTGCAGTTGACACGGCAACATTAAATATTGTAAGAATTAATTTGTCGAAAGACTAACCCAGAAGACAGTGTTCTTCCGTCTCTTCTGGTTTAACTGACTTTAATTTTTATTGGAGATTACAAATTCTGTTCATTTTAATCCATTTTGTAGTCGTTTATGAATTCCAATATATTTTTGGTTTAGGTAAATAATTTCATCATTTTCAAGAATTTATTAAAAAGTTTGAATGAAAATATCATAAGAAATTGCATTGGTGCCACATTCTACTAAGGCAATATCGCTTAAGTCAGTATCAAGTAATTCGGGGAATTAATTGGCAACCCCGTCTGAATTCCTAAGTATCTGACAAAACAAAATAAAAATGAATGTATACGCTTATTAGCAAGTTAAAATTTAAATTCGTGGAAAGCATTTAACTTTACACCCATACAAATTTGATCGAAATCCATAAAATTTTCTACGAAATGAAACATTGCGAGTGGATTGACCTGGGCTCCATTGTTCCAGAACCGCTGAGCTCCACGAAAGCATCGTTAACACCAACGCGTTAATGTAGTTTTGGTTCTTGTAACACTTACCTGCCATGTTGGAGGCACTAATTATTGTTAACTTAATTATCATCACGTTTTTACATTCATTTCACTAAAACAACAGATCGCCATTTGGCTCGGAGACGTTCCCACGGTTACAAGCTGTGTCATGCCAAAAACTAATTTCTTTTTTCGTTATAAATACATTCATGAACGTGTTTCCTCTAAAAAGATTATAATGCAGTCGCATTTTATGCGAATTTGAAATAGTACGGTATGAAAGAATATTAATAAAATCTCACTTTATGGAGAAAGTTTGAAATAATGGGAATCCCCCAATATCGGCAAAGAATCATGCATATATATCAAAATTTGCCTTGAAATGTAAGAGTTCTAAATTACGCGAGATCTTCAGGAGCGCATCCCTCACATAAAATGCACCTTCAGAATAAGAAGCAGGAAGGTTACCATCTGAACCAATTTGCTAGGTAAATGTATTATATAGAAACATTAATTCCTACCTGTTTTTTTTTCCTTGGCACTACAGTCCCAGTGGGCCTAGGCCTACCTCCATGAACTCCATTCACTTCGGTTTTTCTCGATCTTACACATACGGTAGGACTCCTTGGGCGAGTGATCAGCTCGTCGCAAGGCCTTTACCTGTA